TGTCAAAGTTTGAAAAGGTGACCACTTGATTGGGACGGTTCGACCGTTCGAATTTGAGGTGGCCCATGTACGAGGCACGGCCCTTTTTTTTTTTTTTTGTCACTGTTAAAGTGGCTTTCATTTTTTCTTCTTTTATGTGAACTCAACTGGCACAAAGGGCATTAGGGGCTCGGTGTGAGTGCCAATATTGATCCGGTTTTTTTTTTTTTTATGTAGATCGCACGACATACTTTGACATTATTGTTATACTAGAATGTATCACAACAAAACAGAAGGCCGACCACACCACGGGTTATACATTAGTGTAACAACAATAGATTGTGTTTTTTTTTTAGCTTCGTTTGAGGCTAATTCGAAAAAGATGATTTTGGATCACCATGATGGTCCACCGGATGATCCAAATCTTATCCTTCACCTCGGCCACCACCAAACTCATTTTTTTATTTTAACGCCAGTAGAATACATTTTCACACTTCTATTAGGGTCCGTTTGATTGCAAAAATGAAATTCGAGTGAAAAGAAAATGAATTTTAGGGAATTGAATTGCCTAAAACTTGTTTTATTGAAAATTGTCAATTAATTGTATTTTATTGATATAATTTTTCACTTGAAAATGTTGAAATTTTGGATCTTCTGGTATTCGTTTGGCTTTGTTTTTCATGAAAATTGTCCATTAAAAAATATAATTTGTTTCAATTGTAAAAAAAAAACCTAAAAAATCATTCTCACCAAAGTGGTGGGAAAACTAATTCAAGGAAAAACAAGAAAAGAGTGTCACATAGAACTTAACAAGGAAAACCAATTCCATGGAATTTTTGGCCAATGCAATAACTTCAAAAATGGAAAATCATTTTCAACTTCAATGAAAAATAAACTCTATCAAACGGGCGTTAGGAGATTGTATATTGTTGTAGTGGGTCTGACTTATTGACCATTTTCTAAGTCTCTCTCTCCTCTCTTCATCATTTATGGGGTTGGCAAAATTAGAGAGAACAGCCACAAATTTTGGTGGGGTTAGTATGGATTTTTCTATTTCCAAAGCTTGCAACACATTAAAAAAGCACAGGAAGGACTAAAATTAACTTTGTAACTACTGAATTGTCTGTTGTTGCTGCATTTATTTAAGATTTTGTTCAGTAAAGTGATAGAATTTGTTACTATTGAGGATATAATTTGTTTCAATTGTAAAAAAAAAAGGTCTAGAAAATCATTTTCTTACCAAAGTGGTGGGAAAACCAATTCGAGGAAAAATAAGAAAAGAGGGTCACGTGGGGCTTAATAAGGAAAACCAATTCCATATAATTTTTGGCCAATCAAACATGAAATAACTTAAAAAATGAAAAATAATTCACAACTTCCATGAAAAATAAACTCAATCAAACGGGGCCTTGGGAGATTGTATATTGTTGTAGTGGGTCTGACTCCTTGACCATTTCTAAGTCTCTCTCTCCTCTCTCATCATTTATGGAGTCGGCAAAATTAGAGAGAATAACCACAAATTTTGGTGGGGTTAGTATAGTTTTTTCTATTTCCAAAGCTTGTCATATATAAAAAAAGGAGCACAGGAAGGACTAAAATTAACTTTGTAACTACTGAATTTCCTGTTGTTGCTGCATTTTTTTAAGATTTTGACAAGATTCTTCTTTAAGTCCATGTTAGTCTCTTTTTTCGCCTATTTTAGAAGAATTAGGACTGCCGCACAGTGTCACAGTCACCATTTTTGACTTGTTTCTCTCTTTATAGGCCCCCACAACTTTGAATATAACGATAATAATTCTCATTTTTATGCTGAAATGATGAGAAACAAACAGGGGCTAAGAATCCTATATTCTTGAAATACTATCAAAATTTTCCATGAACTTAAATTATATTTTTCTAATGAACTATTCTTACGATACAATAAAATCAAATACTTTATTAATTATCTAGAGCACAACTTTTACGAGTAGAATAATATAGAAGGGGTTTGTATATATACTATCGACATGTTTAGTAAAGACGATCGAACAATATTATAGAAGAAAAAAATATATATATATCTAAATCATTATACCGTCAAATCATGTTATCCACCTTTTCAAGCCAACATTGATTAAAATGTTATTCAATTATTATATGCTATATTTCCAATCAACGTGAGATATTTCAGTTGAAAACAAGGAAAAAGGTCAGAAAATAAAACAAAAGCTTTTAAGCGATTGTTTTTTATAAGCAAAAAGTGTCGCCATCAATCCAGCCAAACAAGGGGTCCAGGCAAGTTCTTTATTTTCTGCTATTGCACTTAAGTGATAAACTCTCATTGAATATGCTGTACAAACTCAGCAAAAAATAAAATAAAAATAAAATAAAAAATCAGATAATATTTTTCCTTTATTTTGCGAGAACAATTAAGAATAGAGATCATTACTTGGACATTCCTGAATTACTGAATTACTACAAAGATGCTCTTTTTATTTTTAAAATTTTCAAATCGAGATTATTTTGTACGATTGTAAATAAGCTTATCTTCAACTCATTCGGGAAACAAGCTAGCGCTACTTCAACTTGAATCGTCAATGATTGGTTAGACTGTCCTCAATGTGAAACAAGCTAGCGCTACTTAAAAATGAATCATCAATGATTGGTTAGACCGTCAATGTGACACGTGCACGCAAAGTTGTGACCCCACTTTGCAAATAACTTGAAGCAAGAATAAACATATAGACATGACATAGAAATGTTGATGGAAAATGAAACATCCCTAGCTGTTTATATGAACTGGCATATTTCTTTTGAATCGGACAAATCATATAGAGAGCAAGCATGAAATGATGAGTTGATTTTCAATGTCATGGTTTTTTGCTAGTCGAGGAAGAAGAGCGGTAGATTCCCTCGATTTTTTTCAACCTTACTTTTTCTTTATGAAATTTATGGGAAGAAGAAAAGTAATTCATGTTCACTGATTCATCGTATCATAATTCCCTCGATTTTATTCAAACTTAATTTTTCTTTATGAAATTTATGGGAAGAAGAAAAGTAATTCATGTTCACTGATTCATCGTATCATTAATGGATCTTGCTACATGTATATCAAGATTGAGTAATGCTATTTAGCTTCACTGAGGTTACAACCAGAGTCTAGGTGACGTTAATGTGACATTAAATGATTGTGAAATTAAATAAATCATTTAATTTCAGCTTTCATTTAATCTATCATTTAAAGTCACATAAACTGGAGTTACAACATCAATGAGGATACATAATGAATTACATAATACCACATAACACCTTACCATTTGCCACTTTAAAACACAATCAACCTTTTCAATTAATCTTTCCCTTCACATTATATTATGTAATCTATTATGTACATTTTTTATGTACAATAAAATCCATCATTAATAGGCTCAAGTACGAGCCCCTCACTTTAGTTCTAGAGTGATCATCACTAATCTAAGATGCTCACATCATCTGTTTAAGTTGTAATGGGCTTCATGATTCATTGTCCAATATATATTCAACAATGAATCAGGGTCAATTACGGTTTGTGGGTCCACATAAATCAAGAAACAAGTTATTGTAAATGGGTTTTTAAGATTAAAGAGGGACATAAAAAGGTAGAAAGTAAAAGATAAAAGGCTAGACTGGTGTGTAAGGAGTTCATACAAGAAGACGACTTATACTCTAATGAAATAATACATCAAGTAGGATTAATTGGGAATTAGATCAATTAGATGAAAATACAACGTTTCTTAATAGTAATCTAGAAGAAACTATCTATATGTCACAACCTAAAGAAGACTAAGAAAGTGTCTATTGAAAAGGTCTTTATATAGCTTGAAATAAACATTTTAGGTATGGACATAAAGAGGCATAGAAGTGAAAAAAAATTTGAACCAAAATGCCTATATCGCAAAGATACTAGATAAATTCTCAATGTCAAATGCTAAATCTTTTTAAGTAACCTTTAGGGAGTCATTATAAGTTGCCTTTTGATCAATCTCCTCAATCACAAGAAGAATTTGAGAAGAAGAACAAAATCTCTTGTTCTAACGTTGTGGGATTCGTCTTGTATCTAATTCAAGACCAGATTTAGCTTATGGTGTAACAAGTAGGTTTATGAAAAATTAAGGAAAAATGAAGTCTCGGCTTCAGAATTTGGTCGCTCTGTCATCAGCCTGTGATGCAGTTGAAAATGGATTGTGGTTGAGAGGGTTGTGTTACAGCCGCTTTAACGAGAGCGCAGAAGCTTGACCTCATTACAAAAATACTTCCTTTAAACAACTGAAGCCAACCAACCATGCTGGTGTAAGCTTTTGAACTCCAGGTATGCCATAGAAGTTGCAAAATGTAATTTACACAAGTTGCAAAAATAGAAAGTGAGAAGTTTGAAAATATTATAAATTTTGAACTACCACAAATTGCATATTACATCGTCAGTGCTATGCCCCTTTTTGACAATCATACTTTTCAAACTCATTTTTTTACATACTCATTTGTAACCATACATTTACACAATAAAATATTCTGCATGTAAACACAAAACTTTTTTCCTACTTTTTAACTACACATTCTCCTAAAAATCATTATTCAAAGCTCTTTTTTTTTGGGAAAAATAATGGTTGTCAAACAGAGGATACATGTTTACACACTATCTGTTCTTAATAAATTTGAACTTGACTATATCACCGTATCAATTCTTTAGCTAGACCATCTTGCTAGTCAAGGAAAAAAAGGGTGAATTTTGAGTAACGAGTCACTTGTTTTGAAAGTAAGTAACATTTTTTACTCGTATAAAATCCAACATAAATATTAACTTGAAAGTAAGTTTTACTTTTAAGCTTACCCAAACATGCTTGGTACACTTAATATACTATCAATAAAATAAAAGAGCTTCTAAGGAGTTTATTTTATAGGATATGTTTTGCATACAAACTTGCAAATACTCCAGACCACAATTTGATTTAAGCCATGGAATCTAAAGCCCACAAATTCCATTGCCAGAGACTAAAACAAACATATTAAGCAACAGCAACAGCTTCTGTAGGCTTCGATTCTGGCTCAACGGGTGCTTCTGCAGACTTTGATTCTGGTGCAACTGGTGCTTCAGCAGGCTTCACTTCCGCTGCAGCTGGTGTTTCATCCGTCTTTGATTCTGGTGCAGCTGGTTCTTCTGCTGCTTCCCAGTAAGAAGTTGCCTTCCCAGTTTTTGAAACAGTCTGCAGAACAGCTTCTGGCTGGACATTGCCCTTCACGGTAACTTTTTGCTGCTCAATATCAATGTCAAAAGATTCAACACCTGTACAACACCGTGTTAATGATTCAATAAGAGTTACTCTCAAAATAAATAACTTTATTAACTTAAAAACAAGGAAAAAGTAATATATCCAAACATGTCCTTTGCCCCCCTTTTGTTTAAAAGAAGCTATTATCTACTCTGATTAAAAAAAGGAAATGAGATTCAGGCCCTGTTGGTTTGGCTTCATATTTTAGTAAATTTTAATAAAAGTTGATGAAATATGTTATTGGAAAGTTGATAAAAAGATGTGGATTCCATAAAATGTGTGATTGAAAATGAATCTTAAAAAATTGGGATCAAACAAGGGATCAGTTTAGTCAGTTGAAGACAAAAAGAATTAACAATTTATTCCCATAGTAATGATACAGCTACACATCTTCCGCAATAGTCACCATCAAAAGCTAATCAAAACGTGTCAAGCCAACATCTGTTTTGTAAGACAGCTTGAACTCTCTAAATATAATTCAAGAAAACAACTTTAGAATTCTGCAAAAAGGGATGAAAGAAACTCGAGAGAGCTAAACATATTGCACAAATAAATTTACATGTATTGCCAAATGATACCAAGAAGTAAATTGAAAACCTATATTTTTTTTTACAAATCATGCATTACAGTGCATATAGGAAAATGGGAGTAATTGAGAGGTTGAGTCGTTGAGTAGTTACTTTGCCGGTCAGGTAATTAAAACTAGTCATCTTATTATGCTCCCTGTTTATCAAGTTCTTATTGACATCAGTCTTCAAAATGCTTTCGACTGCAACCTGAACTTCCATTTAAGTTGTGTATGTCAACATAGGATTTCATATAAAGAATCGCATGCACAGGCCCCATGTATATTTGAGACTAAGCCATGTTTGGCTCCCATTCTCTAAAACTCATTTTTCCTCAAACTGATTTTCAACCACACATTTTATAGAACCCACAACTTTATCAACTTTCAACAAACATATTTCATCAACTTTTATCCAAATATACTAAAAAATCTGATTTTTAGCCTAACCAAACGTGGGCTAATTATCTATAAATGTAAGATTGAATATTAAGAAAATTTAGCTGCAGGATGCCAGGTTCAACCAAAAAGCTGATGTATTAAAAGCAACAAAAAAAATTATGTGAAATTGATAGAGATACTCAAGCTTCATTGCTCCTATGATCACGACTGGTCTGAACTTTGTAATGACGCACGTTATAATTTTTTTTTTTTATCATAGTCGACATCAAGAAAAGCAGACAAACCTTCCATTTTGCCTAGAACCCTTTTCACAGCTCCAACGCAGCCTTGGCATGACATGCCGACTTTCAAGACAACAGTCTGCAATCAAACGCGCAGAAGTTTAAGAAGGCCTTCCATTAGGAACAGAATAAGCATTCATGTATTACTAATTACAATTCTCCCTGCAAGAATTCGAGACTTCAAAGCATTTACACAGGCCACGAATTCATCTCAGGTTGTTTCATTCATGGTAATCAGACTATACTAAACTTAGCCCATGTTTGGTGGCCTTTAATTCAGAACCTTTTTTTACGTACTCATTTTCAACCATACATTCACAAAATAAAATATTCTGCACGTAAATCCAAAATTTTTCCAAACTTTTTAACCACAAATTCTCCAAAAATTCGCTATTCAAAACATAGTTTTTCCCAAATAGTTTAATATAGCAAATTTTAATTTTTTTTTTCTTCAACATTCTGTTCATCCTTTATAAAATTCTTATGTAGAACTACAAAGTAACAAATATTCTAATTGAAAGCGAATTGATCATTACTAAGTCATGATAGAATGATAAACAACTATAAGTGACTAAGATATACGATTTAAGTAATGGAAAGTAATAAAATCAGTTAGCCTATACAATCGCTTCATTTATTTTCGTCAACTACGATTGCTAAAATCCACATATTGTAATCGTAAACAAAACTTGTGGGAAAAATTGACCTCAAAACTACCCTTAAAAAAAAAAACAAGTGGAATTGACTTCAATTAAACACTGACAAATCAGGCAGTTTTAAATTATATAAAAGCAAAAATCCCGAGTTGTAGAATCAAGTAAATAGCCTCAAAACACTGACAAATCAAGCACTCTTTGCTAATTCTCGAAAAAAAAGAAAGTCAAACTATATATATGAAAAAGGCACATATAATCAAAAGTATCTAATATGTCGTTTGATCACATCCAAATAATAGATCATAAGCAAAGAACCCAGAAGATATCCAGATGGGTTATCCAAGAATCACAGGAACTCAACGATAATAGGATTAATTTCCAGGAAAAAAAACAAATGGACAAAATACCTGAGACATGATGATTATTTGTACAAATGAAATCAAAAGAAAACTTCGAAGATTTTTTTGGCGAGCACTCAAAATAGAGTGAAAATGTATTGATGCTAGATGATGGTTGGGTTTTTTGAGAACGGCTTTTATAGAAGGAAGGGAAGTCCGTAAGAAGAAATTTCTTGAAAAGGACCAAAGTAGCCAGAAAAATGAAAACTAGACCTCCTATTTTACTATTTTTCCAAATAAACTTTTTTTTTTAACATTTCAACACTACCCTTTTAGAGAAAAAAAAAAAAAAAAATTGACAGCATGACCCATTTATTACGATAAAGGTTAAATCCATCAATGACCACTCAATTTTATATTTAGTGTCACCATGACAACTCAATTTTATTTTATTTCATCATAACCATCCAACTTTAAATTTAGTGTCACCATGACCATCTAATTTGATTTTATTTCATTATGACTATTCAATTTTATATAACATTTCACCATAACCGCTCAATTTCATATAACGTTTCACCATTGTCGCCCAATTTAATTTCATAATTTTCACTAATTTTAAAAGGGGGTAAAACGATAACTTTGCACTATATATAAAAAAATAAATTTTAAGAAACACAAAATTAAAATAAAATCTTATTTTAAAAAAATTATTTAGAAAAATAAAATAAAAACTTATTTTAAAATAATCTTTTTAAAATAAAATAAAAAAACTTTTATTTTTGTTTTTTGAATTATTTTTTATATAATACAAAATTATCGTTTTACCCCTTTTCAAATTAGTGAAAATAGTGAAAAGAAATTGGATGATCATGATAAAATGTTTTATGAAATGATATGGTTATGATAAAACATTATATGAAATTTGGTGGTCTGATAAAATAAAATCAAAGCAAGTGGCCATGGTGACACCAAGTATAAAGTTGGATAGCTATGGTAAAACAAAATCAAATTAAGTGGCCACAATGATATTGAATATAAAGTTGAGTGGCTATCGGTAGATTTAACCCTTACGATAACGGATACAATGCGCCAATGTGATAGCGATGATATTTGAACAATTCGACGAAATTTTTAAATAGAAATTCAACCTTTCACGTTTTGTCAATTTGAAAAATTGATCTTGTTTACTCGTCACTTCATCATATAGTCATCTTTCATGATGATAAATTGATCTTTTAGTCTCTCCCTTAATAAATAAATAAATAAGATAGCTATTATTCATTTTGACTATTGTTGGAGGACTGCTTTGAAAAAAAAAAAGTCTCAAAGTGTTAACGGCTTTTGTTTGTTTAGAAAAAATAAATAAATAAATAAATAATAGCTTCTGTTTGGTGGTGTCTGAGATTGACCCCACCCACAATCTTTAGATGTCTCGGCGTAAAGTAGACGCATTCAATTTTTTTCATAATTGGAGTACTTTCTCAATTTTCTTTTATAAAAAAAACTTAACGTGATTTAAAAATATTACACCTGTTTTGTCGAGATTAAAATCAGATTTTTAGTAAATTTTGATGAAATATACGATTGAAATGTTGTGAAGCCCACGAAATTAAGATTAAAATTAATTATTGACTTTGACTTAAAATAAAATTTGAATTAAATTGATACCAAACACGGGCTAGTTATTTTAGACTCCATTGACAAATTTTATAAATTATTTATAATAATTATATTTTAATTATAAAATCATATTTGTACTATTCACTTATTCAGCACTCATTTTTATCTGTTTATAATTTAGTCTGTTATAAATTTTTGATAATAAATTAAATCCAAATCAAAGTTGTTGCTTTGCTCGGAAATGGGACGAAATCGAACCATGTGTAGACCTATTCACGATTACATGGCTAGTAGGAATTATTATCATATGAAGATAATTTAATGCAATGTGTTTATGACATGTTAAATCATAATTGCATGGCTGGTACAAGAGTTGTTATCTTAAGTAAGATAATTTAAGAATAATTTAACTTATTTAATTTATGATATCTCCCATAAAATTATTTATTAAATGTTAGACATCTTAAATATAATCGTATATAATTAGAAAAAGATATGTGGACAAAAAATATAACGGTATTAGTGTTCCTTTACAGATCCTACTTGCAACTCCGCTCTAAGTTATAAGTTATTTGAACTTTTAAAGCAATATTCTATGTTGAACTTTGGTTCGGATCAAATTTGTGCCACGCAGACAAAAGAATTAACGATATTAGTGCTCCTTTACAGACACTACTTTCAACTACGCTCAAAGTTATAAGTTATTCGAACTTTTAAAACGATATTATATGACAAACTTTGATTCTGATAAGATTTAGGTAGTGGCGTATCAACTGTATCTATCTAAAATAATACTTTAAATGGTGGACTATGTCATCATTAGGGTTCGTTTAGGCGGCTTCTGTGTCTTATAGAAAAGTTTTATGTGAAATTTTATGTTAAATTAATTTATTCTAAAAATTCTTTTAATCGGATAATGTACGTACTTTCCAAAATTATTCAAATAGATTTGAAAAACAACTTTTTAACTTTAAAATTAATTTACTTACCGTTAAATAATCTTTTCAAACGAAACGTTAGAACAACGTAGTTGGAGGAGTTGGCCTAATCTGTGATTTCTTGGAAGCCATTTGCTGTGGTTGGACCTAACGGTCCAAATCATTTTTCTAGCTTTTCCAGTCAGCAGTTTAAAGCGTGCTTTTATTTTGATAGTACACAATGTTACTGCAGTACAAGATGGGTCTAAAATGAAGTACAAGCACGTGAAATATTTGCTCTCTCTTCTTCTATTTATTTATATCTCTATCCTAAAATATGTGAATAGCATATGTTATTAATATCATATTCTTGTTTGAACTTAGAACATGTTTGAGCTTCGTTTAGAGATTAAGAATACATTTTGAAATAATAGATTGATGAAAAATGTGTAGTTAAAAAATAAAGAAAATTTTAAATTTTTTATGTAATTATTGACCTCGAAAAATGGCTCGGACACGTGGCCAACATGATAGGTATTCAAGTCAGCTCTTCCTGCACACGTAGCACGCCAATCTCTAGTGGCCAACATGATAGGTCTTCAAGTCGGCTCTTCCTGTACACTCAGCACGCCCTTAGTGGCTCGTGGCCTTTCCTAGAGGGGGTGGGAGCGGCCACAAGCGCTCCGACGATCAAACCAGTTTATATATAACCAAAAAAAGGGGGTTTGCCGACGGTGGAACACTCGCCGGAAAGTGGTTGATCAAGTGTGTATAGATAAAATTGACACATATAAGGGAGATGATGATACTTGATTTCACAATATGTAAGGGAGAATATGTAAGATTCCAATCCTTCTTTTGGCATAAGGAGGGGATATTTATACTAAGGATGGAACGAGGAGAGCCGTTGGATGAGGAGACACGTGTTGCCAGATCCCCAAGGCTTGTCCCATCCTAGTGTCAATCTGTCCCTCCATAGGCCGATTGGTATTGAATGTTTCTGACATAGGCGGCCGATTTGACCGTTTGGGGACCTGCCACACGTACCATCAGTCAGGGATTTGACTTTAGAAAGATCTTTATACAAAAGATCTTTGACGGCGAGGCGAGGCGAGGCGAGGCAGGTGAGGCGTTGCAGCGTTGTAGAAGCGGAATGCGAGCCTTTGCATCCACTGCGTACTTGCGGATGAGTTCGGTTTGTCTGCTGGCGCTTATTCAGTTCGTCCTTCAAGCAATTACTTCGGCCTCTGCGGTCAGCTCGCCCCTTAGGGTAATCGCCTCGGCCACCGTGTCATGGAGTGGGCCACCCCCTCTGGCACGTGGTGGGTGAGGTGAAGGGTCTGACACCGACCCGTAACAATACTCCCGCAAGTCCCATGTATGGACATTAATATAGTACAGAGACTTTTGATTTGGATTGGGAAGCATGGTGGACTATTTGGCTAATTTTCAAGGTGAAGGGTCTGACACCGACCCGTGACAGTAATATTGTTTTATTGAAGAATGTGCAATTGAAAAAAAAATGAAAATTATAAAACATTTTCACATGTTATGATACAAAGTCTGATACAAGTCAAGTCATGTTTGGTGGGAATTGAAACAAACTTTTTAGTAAATTTTGATCAACGTTGATAAATGTAGTGAAACCCATGAAAATATGTAATTATTGACTTTCACTTTAATTAAAATATGAATTTTAATAACTACCAAACAGGAGGTAAAGGTTATTAAGATTTATTTTTGTAAATCATATGTCATCTTACAGACCTGACTTCGTATAGATATTCTAGCTTTCTCAATCTAATTCAACTCTAAAATCATAAATAATTTTTTTTTGTCAATGATTTTAACATGAAGTTATTGACTTATTTATATTCTTTGTCCTAGCCACTTGTGACCGGAGACTGAGCAACTAATTAGGAGTAATTTTATAAGTGGTCACCTGCACTGTAGAAGAGAGCTCACAAATGAATACGATTCACACGCGACCAGAGGATCAATGATACAGCCGGGTCGAGATAATTGGTCCTACGAGGCAAGGTGAATAGTGAGAGAGTTGTCATATGAAACTTGAGATATATGACAGCACCATCGATAGCTTCTGATCACATGTTTGATGTTGAAGTCGATAGAACCTTCATGAACAATATATGCTAGGACAAACGCATGAAATTTAGGACACAACGCCTTTTCCACTTGATTGTTCCCTGCAATGGAAGCACAACATGTGTCCCATGCACAGTCCTCAACAAGAGATGAAACTGCGAAGGTCAACCTTGAAACACAGGTACCCGATTCCTTTTCTATGTAAAGAGACTCACTTTATAAATTACCTTCAGATAATTTTTTTAGAACAACATACTCACTCTCATGCCAAAGTGTAAACAGAGGCCAAGCTCCAAGTATTTCGATGGTCCATCCTGAAGGCATTACAAAATCTCCGAGTATTCTGCAGTTGGTCGTGAAAACTCTTTTTAAGAATTGAGATCACAATAATGACTTTGTCGTTCACACAATAAATTTACAACAAAATATTTT